TTGTAAATTTTATGTAAATAAAATGCAATTTATGAAACTTCAGAAAGTTTATTTATTTATTACATACTGTACATAAAACTTGCATAAATGTATTTTAAAGAGCATACTATCTGAAGCAAATATATATAGAAGTAAAAAAGTTTTTGAAGCTGTAGCCTTAACGAAAATGTAGCCATTTCAGAATTTATGTAGCAATGTAGCTTCTAATTTTAAATGTAGCACTTTTGCAACAATTGTAGCCAAACGGCAACGCTGCCCCGGAATCAACAAATCAGTTCTAAACAATGATTTTATTTGTATTTATCTTATATAGCTAAGGGCCGATTTCATAATAAAATTAAAGAATATTTTAAAATTTAAAGGGTTCTTTATTTTGCTGGTCGATTTCATAAAGCCACTTTAAAGATAAATGTGCCCTTTAGTTAAATACCCAAAATGAAAATTTAAATGACAAAGGTCCTTTTTGCCAACTTTATTTCCATTTACTTTTGTTATTATTCAATTGCCATTGTACTATGAAAACACTTCTTGTTCAAAGTACGTTTAAATGACACTTTAACTAAAAGGAAAGTTTTGCAAAAGGAACTTAAAGTGTTTCATTATGAAATCTAAACACCGCACACCCCTCGGGAGCTTGGGGGAAAGCCCCAAATCGGAAAATTATTTAACTAATTACCGAAATTTGAAGATTCCGAACTGTATCGATCAGCTTCGCGTCCAAACGTGTAAAAAAACAACATTTTTTTTTTCTAATTTAAAGTAATTCCCCTCTTTGGAAGTCTTTGCATATGTATGACTTTAGTGCATTAAAAATTTACCAAAAAAAAAACGAAAATTAAAATTGGGTCATAAAGTTGTGTAAAAGTCGCACGGCCATCCTGGTATTGAAAACACTAAACATACATACTTTACGCCGGTCGCTTAAATCAAATCGAACAACACCAAAAACAAGACAAAGTAATTTAAACTAGAACAATTACAACCACAAAAAACCAGAGAAAAACTGCATACATAAGTTTTTTTCAAGTCTACATAAACAGGTTAACTCTCCACTGCAACAACCACAAGAAAGGCCTTTCAACGTGAGCTGTAAATCAGTGGGTAATGGTCTGATTATGGCAACTTAACGTAACTTCCCTGCAGTGAAAACCCAAACCAGTTAGAAAAATACTAGTTCATAAACTAGTATGTGCCTACCAGTTCGACATTTTCGAAGAACTTAAGCGTTCAGCGACCTCTGCCTTCGAATTGCCAAAGCCTAAAATAAAACGCAATTAATTGCTTTTCTTACAAAGGTCGGCTGTGGCGTCACGTGAAGACTACCGGTTCTGGTTCGAGGCCGCTTGGAGGTGGTTAAGATTTTTAAAGTTAGATCAATGTAAATAGGAATAATTATTTCAATTTAAATATAACACTGCAGTGAACACCCAAACCAGTTAGACAAAATACTAGTTCTTAAACTAGTATGTACCTACCAGTTCGACATTTTCGAAGAACTTAAGCGTTCAGCGACATCTGCCTTCGAATTGCCAAAGCCTAAAATAAAACGCAATTAATTGCTTTTCTTACAAATGTCGACTGTGGCGTCACGTGAAGACTACTGGTTCTGGTTCTGGGATCGCAGGTTCGAGGCCGCTTGGAGGTGGTTAAGATTTTTAAAGTTAGATCAATGTAAGTAGGAATAATTATTTCAATTTAAATATAAAGAACCAACTTAAAAATCTAGTTGCATTACAAAAGAAAAAGGAACAAATATATGTGCCATAAAAAAATAGATTAAAAAAATATATATATATTTTTTTAAATTAAATTTAAGAATAACAAAAAAACCCTAAATAAAAAATATAAATAAAAGAACTATTATAAAAAAAAAATAAAATAAAAAAAAGTTCCCTGCGCCAGGGCTTGAACCTACCCTGCAGTGAAAACCCAAACCAGTTAGAAAAAATACTAGTTCATAAACTAGTATGTGCCTACCAGTTCGACATTTTCGAAGAACTTAAGCGTTCTGCGACATCTGCCTTTGAATTGCCAAAGCCTAAAATAAAACGCAATTAATTGCTGCTGATGCATAGCCTGACAATTGACATCTCGTAGGACATCTCAATGTTAAAAATACCAGTCGCTAACATTGAAAGAGGATAGAACGTGAACTAGTTAGGCTGAAACGCAAACTGGTAGAATTCTAGTTCACAACTAGTAGCTTTCCCTGCAGGGTGGTACCTCAGGCATACCACGCGAGTGCTTTGCTCTGTCGGCCATTGCGACTATTGGAGCGCCGCGAGCAAAAAGGCATACTAATGCTTTTCATAGGGGATGAATTGGCAGACTATCTCATCAACTGGTATGATGCTACTAGTATTTCTACCAGTAGATGCTGATGCATAGCCTGACAATTGACAACTCGAAGGACATCACAATGTTAAAAATACCAGTCGCTAACATTGAAAAAGGATAGAACGTGAACTAGTTGGGCTGAAACGCAAACTGGTAGAATTCTAGTTCACAACTTGTAGCTTTCCCTGCAGGGTTACGGCTCTCTCTTAAAAATTCTGTTAAAGCTGAAATTAGTCAAGAACGTAAACCTACCGGTACGTAAACCCGAGTCAGCTGACACGATCTGTCTTACCAAAGCGTCATGTAAATGAAAACTCAACACCGCAGAATTTTTCTGTAGTTGTAGCCCGTAGCGCAGAAATCTGCGGAATTTAGATTTTTCCGTGTCAGCTGATTTCTCCT